CACACACACACACACACACACACACACACACACACACACACACACACACACACACACACACACACACACTAAATATATATATATATATATATATTCTAAATTTCTATTTTATTTTCGCGGAGATATTTTGTAATCGAATTCGTTTAAAGTCATCCTGTTGCTCACCTGTCTGATTGAACTTTTCGTGATATGAGAGAACTTAGTTTATATAAGCTATGTAATTTATTGATTATTATTTTATCAGAATATTAGCAAATATTGTAATACTATTTGCAGATCATTTTGCTATCCGTTACAGTTAAATGATTTTATTCGGGATTATATATTACTGTCAATCAACTAACAAAACAACGTATTATTTCTATTTGATAATATAGTGAGTGTATCTACCGTTAATTAGTTCTGTCATGCTTAATGATTGGCCTCGTTGATTCGCAATATCTATAATGCACGTTTAAACATGTGCAACAAAGCGTATTCCGCACGCGTTAATATCTCCCATGTCGCAACGAACGATAAATTTGGTCGAGCTTATTTACCGCCGGTGGTGATTAATTCTAGGGCGGATCGAAATTTGCTGAAATGGCAACAGAGCCCCATTCCCTCTTCCTCATCGTTCCGTTTTGTCATAAGTCAAAAAGTTACGACAAGCCGCGCTACACGTTTATCATCGCTAACGGTTCTCGCAACTCATCATACAGACGGATCACGTCACGGCGTCATGCCGGGAGTTATAGTGTTTCCAACAGCAGTAGCAGAAGCAGCAGTGTCCCCTCTCGACAAACAGATTCTCATCCAACGACTGTCATGCGCTCGGCCGAATTTTAAATTCGAGCTTACTCGCCGCTAGGTCAAACGCGACGTAAGGTTGATCCTCCGTTTAACGTCATGCTGAAAGAACGCTTTCTAAAACACTTTCGGCGAATCTCGTACGTGTTCGAGAGAGCTAGCTCGATGATCGATAGTGCTCGCTTGCGTTCAGTGGCGTACCGTTCTTACGCTCTAATTCTACGCTAAAATGCTTCCGCTCCACGCAGTAGATTTTCGTTGCTACGCTTTTCGTAATCTCTTAAGTTAAAAGCGTCGCGTACTACATAGTATATAAATTTTCGCATTATATAATATTTTTCATTCTAATTTATTTCCAAGATGCGGTTGATATAATAGTGTTTGAAATAGTGAGAATAAAAATAATATATGTAGATTGACATAACTTAGATAGAACCGATATTAAAGCCGAAATGTCGTTTTCATCACATCAAATTGTTCTATGCAGTACAGCATTTATATGAAATTTCCAATTCTATTTTTAAAGAGCAATACTATTCTATATATTGCTTTTTTGCACGACACAAAACGAGATGAATTCCATACTTTGTCGTTCAATATGATTGCTAGTATCATTGTCTCTTTACGTGAAATGCGTTTATTTATTTTTTTTTTTTTTATTACAAACGATGATAAGATAAAGGTTTAATTTGTTCAAATCATATCTGAGTGCAATTTGTCAATTTGCATTTGTCTGAAAAATTATATACCTGCGTCACATATGCACACATACTATAATTAAACAAATTTATGATATCTTGTGAAACAATTATACAAATTAAATTTTTTATAAAATGTAAAAGCTTGAGATTTTACACTTACATAAAATTTTATTTATTAATCGTAGAAATAAAATTTTTTGCAAGTGTAAAATCTCAAGATTTTACGTTTATAAAACATTTTATTTTCACAATTTGTAAATGTAAAATCTTGAAATTTTATATTTATAAAAAAATTTATTTTGTGATTGTTTTTACTTTACATTATAGAATATCATAAGAAAGCTGCGTAGGTGTCAAATAATATGACATTCATTGTGGCGTGGGAGAGTACGTAGGAATTTTTATAAAATCCTCTGTGTGTGTGTGTGTGTGTGTGTGTGTGTGTGGGTGGGTGGGTGGGTGTGGGTATGGGTGGATGTGGGTGTGTGCGCGTGTGTGCGTGCGCGCGTGCGTGCGTGTCTATAGTAGAACTCTT